AATCACATGCATACTTATAGCAGGACCTATATAAAACTCAAGCCGTACTCACTCCAAACACTTCAAAGTGGCATTCCCTCCTGCTTAGAAAAAAATCTCCAGTAAAAATTGACCACGATTCTCAAGTTCTGTTTTGATTTCACTACTGAAACACTTTCAGTAAACAGAGCCAACAGCAGCATTAAAATGAATAAACTACATCAAATTTGGTTATTAATAATACTCGGAGAATTTGGAAGTTGAAGAGGGGGCTGACTCCATCTCCATGTGAGGCGTTCCAAAATGGCAATCTTACTTCCAGTGCTTCCTCAGCATTCAGCTAAGTTAAACCTGGAGATGTGCACAGGTCAAGCTCTTAGGACAGGACACTCAGTATGCTATGCATATGCAAAGCCTAATTTGTTGTATGGTCCTCAGAGCGAGTAAAACCTGTCAGCGTACTGCCTAACACTGCCAAAAGGCACATTATAAATAGCTATAATTTAACATCTTCAATATAAAATAATTTCAATCTACTTCCTTTTTTTTTTTTTTAATAAATCTCAAGCCCTAAGAAAAAGAAGTCCACAAAATACCTATTGATTGAGTTATTTCAGAAATTGTTGTTCAAAGCCTTTCATTGAGTTTATTTTGTTTACTTCACATTTCACAGGAAAAGTATAATTTATTCCCACTTCTGCTGCTTAAAATAATCTTAACATATTTCCTTTAACAAAAATAAATAAATAAATAAATAAAATTTAAAAAATCACCTGTGTTTTGTGACTATAAAATGTAAAATCTCAGGCCAAAAAATACATTCCAAAAATGGCACGGCAATTGAAAGGAAATGGTTTGATGCAACCTAAAAGATGATTAACTTACCAGATCCTGCCATATTTCTTGTTTCCCAGAAACTGGGAGTAGATTGTAAAAGAGGAAAAAAAAATATAAAGGGAAATAATTTGGAAAGTCCTACTTTTTATTTAGCATTAACTTTCAAATTGCACAGTTTTTGCTTTACACACCAAAACCAGAGAAAATAGTTTCAGAGGACTCTGAGAGGATGCATAACATTAAAGAGACAGAAGAGTGAGAGAAGTGGCAGCAATAAAGCACAGCAGTTCCTTTGGCCAGCTCTGCCAAATATTCTTGGTAGGTTGTCACTGCTGCTGCTTTTTGGAAAGAATGAAAACTACTGACAGCAAAGCCACAAGCCCCCCAAGATAGGGCCATCCATTTACCTTCTTCATTTAACACCATTTAATACGTGCAGTTTGAAACAGGACCAATTCAAGAGCTTGCACAATTAAAATACTTACATTAAAGAACTGTGCACAATTCCCAAAGCACAGGCTCCTATCAGTGACTGATATTTTAGATAGAGTGGATTTTTCCTCTCATGCCACGTTTCTTCTATGTTTATATCTTGATTTTTCCCCTTAATGTCCCACCTCCCCTACTGTTGCCCTGTCCTCAAATTCCAGTTGTATTTGTTCTCTTTATCCATCTGTCCACATATTATAATTACTTGATTATCTTTAACAGTAAAATATCTTTCTCACTGTATGTTCTTCTTTCACTTTCACCATCACTTCTTGGGTCAGTCTTCTGCTGATACTTTAAATTTGCTGCAGGACAGAAAGTCAACTTGGGTATTGTGAAGATCAAGTCTTCTCTCTCTCTGTGTTTCATGGACAGCATGTATATACCTTCTCTTTCCCCTGAAACATCCTTTCTTGTTCCCTCACTGAACTCCAAAATCTGATACTGACAATTCTCAAGTTATTTTTTCTATTTTAGACAGATATATGGATCCTTGATAAAGCTTGAAGATAAAGAGGTTTAAGACCTAACTAATTTTAGTCACAAAAGAACTTCAAAATGTGCTCAGATTAAACTTTCTTTTCCTCTTTTCTCCTTTAGTTTTTAATGAGTTCTTTCAAAATTGCTCAGTTATAACATGGGGTTATAACTCTAATTATCATTAGAGTAACTCTATCAATATTGTGACTCACAGAAAATCAAAGCTGCAATTCTCTTGTTCCTGTCAATTTTCCTTTATCTCCTAGAATAGACATTGTCTTGGCCTTAAACCATAAACTAGTTATTCTCTGTGACAGAAAAATCAACTTTTAGTCCTGAATTTCCATCTTTTTTCTCACATGACAGTAAAGATACCTGCAGGCATCATGTCTGTATAGTGTATTGATGCCAATGAAACATGTTGTAAATGTAAAACATGTAAATAACTTTTACTTCTTCTATGCACTATTTTCCTAAATCAGAATAATCCTAAAAAGTGAGCCTCCAAAATCACTTTGCTGTGCAATTCACAGAATAAATTTAGTTTCTCCTTGACTAAAGACTGAAGTTGTTAAATAAATTTTTTTCAAATAAATGACAGCTATACAATAATTGTGTTTAATACTTTCAAAAAAATTTTTTTTTCCTCTAACCAATGTTAGAGAAAATAATTATTTTAGTTTGAACTAATGATTCTTTCCCTTTATCCAGGTGCAAATGTAGTATTTCAAGACATCCTAATGATGTTTAAACTTACTGGAAACCTTGATATATTGCATTGGTCCTCTGTGAAAACTTCAATTCAGATGGCCAGTAGGAACACCACTGTCAATTATCACTCCCATCATTACTACAGGGATTTCCATGAATCATAAAACACAGTTATTGGGAGTGATATTCTTCTCTTAATGATAAACATAAGCAGAAAATCATCAGTAAATTCTTCTCTTCCTCATTAATCCCTTTCCCCTTCATCAAGCTGTTCATCAGAGCACAAAGAAATGTTTCATAATCCTCTCATCAGGTTTCACAACACCACTGGTGCCTCTCTTTGCCAATGGAAACTCTGCAGCACAGGGAAGGCAGGTCCCCTGCCTGTGTACCCACAGGGATGGGGCTGCCCTGAGTTCCCACAGCCCTGATTCCCCTGCACCTTGTGAGAGGCTCCTCTGTGCTCCAGGGCACCACAGCATGAAGGAGATTGGCTCCTCACAGTTTCATTTACTGTCAGACTTTCAATGTGTAAAGAGAACTTCGGCAAGTAGCATATATTTATGTTGCAGAAGAGGATGCATTTCTTTCCTGCAAGGTGGACCCTGAAACACTTAGAAGAAAAGCATACCTTTAGTTGCACTGAGAATGTGACCAAGGCTTTCTTGTAGAAAGTCCAAGGTTTAGTCCAAGTCAAAATACACAGGAATCCAATTAACAAAAAGAAGCAGCACGAAATCTATTAAGATCACCTCACAGCACCACCTTCTATCCTATAATGCTTAGCATTTCTTTGAAACAGTTTTCACTCTTTTTCTTTTTTTCATTTAAAAAAAAAAAACAAAACAAACCAAAAAAAAAAAAAAAAAAAAAAAAAACGAAGAAAGAAATGCAAAAACTACATGCAAACTCCAGATCTCAGACTGGCAAATGAACACAAGAGATGAACAATATGAACTTCTGCACTTGAGAGAGACTGCAACATTAGGTCAGTGCAGATCTAAAGCCCTTTATGCATTTATCTATTGTTTAAAAAAGAAAAAAGAAAAGATATTCTGCTAATCGTAATATTTAGACGAACTAACAAACTTAGAAAGACAGGTCAAGAAACAAGTAGGAACATACCATCAGTGGAGGCTTCATCTGAGCAACTTATGCTGATTGGTAGAATTATCCTATCAAATGAGCACTTTTCCTCTAGCTCCAAATAACATAATTTTGTGAGAATTTTCCTGTGAAAACTCCTGACTGAGATTATTTACCTTCTGAAAAGAAGACTATTTGAGTAAAGATATAACAAAGATCACTTTGTGCAGAATTACACTTCTGTTGAAGGAAAAAACACTTAGATTCATTTCTCCTCTAAATCACAGGCATCTTAAACATCACATACAGAGCAACTTTGACATGCTTTGAAGAATTATGGCTTTAAATTTCACCCACTCAACAGCTTTTGCAAACTTATTTCTAATGTTACTGTCAACATGTATAATTCTATTGCTGTGCTAATAAAGCAGCTTTTTCAAAAGAACACAGTGACTGGAACAACATAATAACTCAGATCAGATTTATTTCCACTACACTAGAACTTATCCAGGAGTATTCTGTTTCCCTCCTTAAGAGAGACAAAAGTTATGAAAGCCTTATCTTCTTCATAGCTTTGTAACCTACCTAAAATTTAGATATCTCCCTGGTATTTTTGGAGACAAGTATGTAACTATAAAACCTTTGTCTCTTCATAGCAGAAATCAGAATCACTGAATGTTATTTTAAGAAAAATTTATGTGCATCACAACAAAGGAATGCAAAAAAAGCAGTAAGAAAAGTTGAGAAAATAGAATAAATATGGAAAGGATAAAACTGGCTTCTCTTCAAAACCCCAAGTTTGTCAAAAGAACAAAGCACACACAAACAGCATGTAAAACCTGAATTCAAAATGCATTTATATAAAAGGGGTGAGGACACATGTTTTTTCTATTTTAGCTTGAAAAATAAAGGGACACAGCAATGACTCTTGCTGGCAGGCAGATAACTCATAGGCCCTGACCCTTCGACTCACCAGGAATTCAAACACAAAGCTCTTTTCATAGTGACCGTGCCATACATTCTCAAGATAAGGCAGCGAAATACGGAGCAATGCAGAGGTGCCGCAAAGCTCAAACTGCAGAAAACTGCACAGAAATTCCAGACACTTATTCACCTATATGCAGCCACACACCGAGGGCTGGTTGCAAAAACTCTTTCTTTGCAAATCGGAAGCCGTACAGCATGCTTTAGAGAATGGGACCTGATTCCTGGAGCAAGCAAAGGAAAAACAGAGAGCAACCAGCAAGGAAAGGACCATCCCTGTGCATTTCTGCACCACTCAGAACTGCAGTGCACATCCGGACAAATAATCTGTAACACAATGAACTTTGCAAAAGGATAGCTGTGGTAGAACGGAAGGGATTTTAGAAACAACAGAAACAGCTACATTTCAAACAACATTTCAAATCTGGACTCACCACGAAAATGCAACAGTTGCCTGAAGTTAGTGTGATATTTTCTGCCCTGTTCCAGTGCACTTTTTGCCTAGTTGTCCAACACTTGGGAGCTCAGAGCTGCCACACAGAGGCCCCTTCCGTGATCTGGCTTATTTGCCTGTCAATTTGAGTCTCGGCTTCTGTATGATGCAGCTGTGCACTTTGCTGAAGGTCTAATATCATTTCCATAAGCTTCCTCCCTGCCCGGAGCAAGCAGTTTATTCTCCCTGCTCAATAACTACTCAAATCACTTTTCTGGTACTCAGAGGGATAAAGCTTTAAGTTGTTAAGGAGTTCTTACTAAGTAGTGGGTGGAGAACATAAGCTCGGTACAAGGAAACTCTGCGCATAATCAGAAACGGAGAAACTTCCTCCCTTTCCCCCAACCCCTCCTCTCAACAGGCGAAGCTGCCAGTGCCTTCTTTACAGAAATTTAGGAATGTAAAGGGAGGACTCAAAGGGGCCCAGTCAGACAAGCCTTTCTCAATCAATTAGCTTGCAGCCATTACTTGTGACCCTAGGTCACACAACATAAGTGTGTGGGGTGTGCCTTTAGGGGTACACCAAAGCTACTTATTAAAACTTACATAACCAAAAGCGTTCAAAATCAAATAAACTTTGAAAGTTGTAAAACATTTTCCACGTACCATAGTTTTGCAGGAAGAAGAGCTTTGAATAGTGAAATGTTACTTTGCTTTTCCAATAACGAGTCATTTGATGGAGGAAATTTACTATTTTTTGTTTTTTGTTTTTTTACACTTTTCAAAAAAAACAGACTGAAATGTGAGAAACAGAAACAACCTTAAAGGTTGTTTGCCTTGCAGTTATGAAGAGCTAAATAATATTGGCAAAAGTGATATCTAATGAAGTACATGATTGTGTTTCCTAAAATAAGACTATTGTCTGTAGCTGCAAGGGGATACAGTTTTGTAGGATACTTTAATTAGTTCACATGCATTTTATTTCTCTCCAAGAAATGAGTTACAAGCACTAGATTCTACTCTTCGTTTTAGTACTCCAACATAGCAAATCAACAATAGAGTTTAAAAAAAAAAAAAATAAAAAATAGACCTGGCATATTTAAATACTGCACTAAGTTATCCTGCATAGAATGCAGGGAGAAGAGGGTGTAACTTTGCACAGCTGCCACATGACAAGCATACACCCCTTGGTGCAAAGGAAAACTTCAAAAAGACCCTCAGCTTCATATCCTGCCAACCCAATGACATGGAGATGATGCCTTGGGAAAGCCCATGAGGGAGTCCTGATTTCAAAAGCAGATCTATGACAACCCCTTTCTGGGCCAGACAAGATCAATGCACTGCAGGGGCGATGCACTTTAATCTCAAGGTGCATCGCAAAGCATCTTTAAGTAGTGCCACAGATCAAGGCTCACACAGAGCTGGAAAAAACAATTCACACCAAACTTCTCTCTGTGCTTAAGGTAACAACAACAACTGCTCAAAAGCTCGTAGAGGACACAGGGAGACACATAATAAAAGAGGGAAGTAATGGTAAAATACTGAAATTCACTGAGGATGATATAGACAACTTGCACTCTACATGTCTCTCCTCCATTAAAACTCCTGTCGAACTCTCTGAACAGGGGGCATGGCTTGTGTTAGTTCAGACGTTCATTCCAGAGATCAGATTGCAGGATCAGGGCCACTGAATAAGTGCCCTGAGGTAAGGATTTTGCTTCTGTCTTGCACATAAGACAGCATTTAATAAATTAGGTCACCTTTAAATCCCTGGAAAGCTCTGGCAGTACAAATAATAATCATGGAAACTTATATTTTGAATGGAAAAATAGATAGATTAAGACACTGGACGGGGATTTATGATATTTGGGTTCTGTTCCCTTTTGTGTCTCAAAATGTTCTAATGACTTGGGACACATTATTTCACAACTATGCATTTAAACCAAGTGCCACTTGCCTTACAGATGGAAGGCTTTTGTCTCCTCAAACATTATTTATTAAAAAGTACTGATAATATTCAGTATAGAGACCTTTACAATAATAGTTCACAACACATGCTCTACAAAGTGAAATTAAAGCAGTATAGAATATATAACATTTACTGTACAGGACAGAGTAATTGAAAACAAGAAAGCTACCACATCAAATCCTCTAACATTCAAATCCATTGTGGGCTTCAATAAAAACAATCTCCAGGAGATAATGCAAATCCATGCACATGAATAACAGTATAGACTTCATTCTCTCTCCTTTAGCTGCTTAGAGTTTAGAGTCCTTAACAGAAGAAAAAGATAGTAAGGAAGGCTGTCCAGAGTGCTATTCCGAGCAAGCGTTATGAAATCAAGAACTCTTGCCACGTTTGTCCAGTGATCCTCCATGCTCTATAAGTTGAGGAATTACCTTTAATTTGAGGTTTCCCTTCAGTGCACAACTTGTAAAGCAAGGTAGACCTCAAGCACTCCATTTCCTTATATGTTACAGATTCACACACCTTTCTTTGGGAAAAGTTGATATGGGAAATTTACAACAGAAATAAAGACATTTAAAGGATGTTTTTAATGTAACTTAAAACAATGCCTCCACACTGGAAATAATAATAGAATAATGGCTCCTCCTGGCACAGCTGAGTCCCTGGCTAAGGGCTCTTCCTTTTCCTGATTGCTGGCTGTAAAACTACCCCTCTATTGGCTCTACTCCATTGCTGCCACATTACAGCTAAGCCAAGGCAACATGAGCCATTTCAAAATAATCATGAATGAATAACAACTAAAAGTTAGGAGGAGGACAGTTCTTAAATCCATCATGCTAGCTAGAAATATATAAAATTCCTTTAGGATTCTCAGGACACTCTTCTACGAGAAAGACTCTCTTTAATTAATGAAAACAAACATCACCTTATTGTTTCCATTTTTACAGTCTAGAATGGAATCGTTGCAGAAGAGACGATTTCCAGGACAGGTAAGGTAGCTTTTGGCATATTTTTCCGCTTCCCGCCCTTTCTCCTCAAAAGTCATGAAGTTTGGAGACCTACCTTAATTAGACACTATTAACTTTTTCCTGTATACGTTACATTTTCTTTTATTCTAACCAGTAAGCACTCACCTAGGGTACATACATCTTCCTCCTTGCACCAGGATATTTTCTACACTTACTAACTCAAAAAGAGCAAGGAGGCAATTGTGAGAGTATTATTAAACCTTTCCTTTGCATATGTAGATCATCAGGCCTGGAGTACAACATGATCACTCTTGTGCAATCAATAGAATATATGACCATGCCACATTAGGGGATCCTTGGAGAACAGAAGAAATTTCATGTTATTTGGGGAGTTGTTTTTCCTGCATAATACATAATGAATATAAAAGGCAACATTGTGTAACATTAATTCTCAAAACAAGCTTTACTCCTCTACTGAGTTTTTAAGTGAAACTATATTCATTTTAGTTAGAAAGATAAAAAACAGTTATGTCACCTACAGCAGAGCGCGTGAAGATTACTATGTTGATAGTGTTAAACTCTACATGAAAAGCAACTGCTTCTTTAAGCAAGCCTGAAAATATGCTACACTACTCAGTACTTTGAAACAGATCTTCCACTCTTTAAATCTCCTTTCCCTACCTCCCCCCACAACCCCTTTTCCTTTCAGGAAACAAAACTCAAGAAGAGAAAGAGAGAGAGTCAAAAGGTTACAAGCTGGCTTGTAAGCGCAAAGAACGTGAGAGGCCCATTCTTCCCCTTAACACCTGACATCCCAGGGTACATTTTCTTCCGTTCTGAGTCTGGTGGATTAGACATGCAGCTCCTATTGATAATACAGGCTGTGCATCTCATTCACCATACACTGATACTTAAAGTTCTCCTCCAATCTCTGCCTTTATAAACTGTTCTCCCTCCTGCTTCACAATTACAAACTTAACTAATGTAATTTTGCATTCTATCTTTAGACACCAATTGGACCCCGTTCAGATACCTTGTGTGAGGCCCAGATTGGAATTCATTCTCAAAACTCTACAGTTTGAAAATGTGACAGAAAATCACTGAAATTATTAAAAAGAGAGGGAGAGAGCCTGAACAAATCTTAAAACATGTTTGAGCTGTTAAAAATAATCCTTAGTGAAAATCTTTGTGACAGCACCGTAACATTCAGGCTACCATTCCAACACACAGATTTTCAAGATTAGTAAAGTCATATCTAAGGCACATTTATCACAGCTGTAGAACAATGAAAGAGATAGAGATAAAAACTAAACTATCTAAGTTTTACCTACATTTTTCCTGAGACTGAGACCCTCATGCAGCCAAGATCTGCTTGCTTGGCTGATGCCGTAGGAACAAGGAAACAATTACCTCTAATTAGGTGTAAAGCTCAACACAGAATAGAAAAGGACTGAGAACAAGGTTAATTCTAAACATCAGAAGTCTTCAGGCAAAAGGATAAAACAGAAACAAGTTTGATTAAGGTATTAAAGGTAGAGCCCATAATGATCAACATTCAACTAGCCTACCCAAACAAAAAGTAAGAGTATAAAGTGTTACAATATGATTAATCAGACTTCATATTATTCACAGACATTATGATCTACTCTAGTTTTGTTCCAAGAAAAAATGGACGTTCCAAGGTGAAGTTGAGTAAAAGCTTAAAAATTAATTAACAAAAACATGGAATTGAAAGCAGGGCAGAAAAGATGAACTGTTTATTGTATAGGCTGCTTATGGATCTGGTGGCACAGTAGCTCTGGGATAATGCTCACCAGTTGCAACACAACATCATCAGTCTCTGCTTTCCGTCATTCCTCACCTACCCCATCTTAAATACCAGTGTTTTCTTATATATCCACAAAACATTCAAACATGTTTCAGGATGCTTTCTTCTTTTTTTTTTTTCTTAATAAGATGAATATTGAAAATTTTCTTTCTCAGATTTTGCAGATGTCTATGCCTGGTTACTACAAGAGAACTGTCACATCTATTACAAAAGGAATTTGAGAAGGGAAAATAAAGATTAGAAAGGTAAATCAAAATTCTGACAATTGATAACGACATCCACAGAAACACTGAGAAAAATCAAATTTTCAGAACTCGAATGTATGAAAAACTCAACAAGATCCCAAAGAAAGCTTAAAGGAAGACTGCAGAGCTCAAATTCCTTCCTAGATTGTATAACCACCAGATGACTTTTCTCAAGAAATTCGTTCTTAGAACTCACTTAGGTGCTTTGGTGAAAAATTGCCTTAGGTTGACATGATTTTCATCCAATAAATGAAAACAAGTGGATTTGACTTTATCCTTTGTTATCTTATTCACAGGCTGAAAAAGTTTGTCTTCTTACTTGTATTTGTGTTAC